ATCATTTTAATACTTTTCTTTTTATAATTCACAGACCAAACCATTTAACGGAAATATGTCGTAGTCAGCAAAATATCATACAGACGCTATAATATTTTAAAAGCGCCTTAACTACACCGAGTATTGACTGTCAAATAACAAAATAAGGAACAATGTCGCAAATGAATTTAATGAATAGTGTCGAAAATAAAAAAAAGAATAATGTTGTAAATGGATTTAATGAATAGTGCCAAATAACAAAATAAGGAATAATGTCGCAAATGAATTTAATGAATAGTGTCGAAAATAAAAAAAGGAATAGTGTTGTAAATGAATTTAATGAATAGTGTCGAAAACAAAAAAAAAATTGGTGTCGCAAATTAATTTAATGAATAATGTCTAAAATAGAAAAAAGGAATAATATCCTTAAGGAGTTTAATTAACAGTAACAAAAATAAAATAATAATAATAATAACTATAAATGTGTGTTTAGATAACATGTCTTTTGTCATACTGAAATGCCGGGGGGCTGCCGGGGGCTTCTGTACACGCACCAACTAACTTATAGTCTGCTGCCGCAAAGGAGTGCCGCTATATTGACTGAGGTTTTGGGGTTGTCAGCAATCTTTTCTTTTATTATTCTTTGTTTTTTTCTTTTTTTTTCTTTTTGTTTCTCTGTTAAGCTATAAAGATAAGCAAAACTAGTAAGCAATTGCTGAAATTAACTATTTGCGACACTATTCCAGTTTTTTTGTTTTCGACACTATTCATTCAATTCATTTGAGATACTATTCTTTTTATTTTTGTTTTTGACACTATTCATTAAATTCATTCGAGACACTATTCCCTTTTTTTTTTTTTTTTTTTTGCCTTTTTAATATACTCAACACTATTCTGAAGTTCATTTTTTTCGACGCTATTCTTGTCACCCCTTCATTCCACCAATAAACAAAGCAAGAGAGTTACAAATAAGTCTTCTACTTGATCATAGCTAATAACTTTCATAATAACCCTCTTTACACATAAAGTTCTGTCCAATTTATTGGATCATTTTCATTTATTTTAATTAAAAATATTACCACAAAACAAAAACATTTTAATTGAAATTATTACCACAAATCCAAAATATTTAGGCAAAAGATTAATAAAAGTTCATTAAACAAGTTGAAAACTGTTTAAAAAATTGCGTTGATCGGAATCTGAAGTTGCAATTGTGAAAGACTAACTACGCATATAACTTGTTTCTTGCTCAATTTTATAAGCAATATGAAATAACGTTTCAAGAAGAAAAAAATCACGAATGTCAAGTCACTTCAAACTCCCTAGATGTCGAAAAAGCTTATTAAAATCTTCAATAATCAAAAAAGAAAAATTATATATAAAATATATCTTATTCATATCTAATTATATATTAAAAAAATCTTATAAAAACTAAGTAACTTATAAAAATTATAAAAACATATTTGAAAAAACGAAAAGATACTCAAAGAAGTTTTATTATGCTTAGAAAACCAACGGAAACACTAAATAATCATGGAATGTAATTAAGGATTTAAATGGAAAAAATTGTAAATTAAAAGTAGTAAATTAAAAACTGTCAAAACATCAATTAATTAATTTATGGTAAACCAGTTGATATTGACAAAAAGTATTTGACGTCACTGAACCTTCTTTATTTCATGTTTTTGATCTTTGATCAAAAAAAATTTTGTCAGAAACAATATCTTTAAATCAGATATTGTTTCTGACAAAAAGTTGTTTCTCCCATAAAGTCATTAAATAAAAGAATATTCCTTTTAAATTACCAAATCTTAAAATTAATTTTATTAAATAATAAGCAAAAACTTTTTGAGAGTAAAACTGGATGAAACTTAACTGTGTTTTTCACATATAAGAAGAATTAAGACAGTAGTCAGGAGACAGTATGTGCCTTCTTTTTGCTCCATTTAATAATTTTGACATATGTATATGCAATGTAAACATTCTTTAATCGCAAAATACACACAATAAAAATAAAAAGCTGCTGAACATCTTTTTTATAGTTATCATTAACAAACTCGTTTCCTAAGAAATAAAACTTTCTTTGAATTTGATTCTTAATAGCAAAGAAATTCATTCAATTACAACATATATTAGCTTTTTGGTCAATATATATGTATATATATATATATATATATATATATATATATATATATATATATATATATATATATATATATATATATATATATATATATATATATATATATATATATATATATATATATATATATATATATATATATATATATATATATATATATATATATATATATATATATATATATATATATACTCATATAGTGTCGCTTTAAGAGCATTTTAATGTAAAAAAAGTCTCTTACGACTACAATTTTAATTACCTCGTCTCTTAAGCTGTTTTTGATTGTCATCGAAATGTCAAAGCAATTAATTTATGCGGAAGTACATTAAATTTAATTGTTTTTTAAAAAATTTTTAAAAAACCGCAATTATAACGACTAGAAAGTTTTTTTTAATTAGTGGTGTTTTTGTTATTGATTTAATAAAAAACATTTTTTAAACATGCGTAAATGTTGCTACATCGACTATCTTATAGCCTGACTCGCAACGGAGTGCTGCTACATCGACTGACAAATAGCCTGACTCGCAACGGAGTGCTGCTACATCGACTGACAAATAGCCTGACTCGCAACGGAGTGCTGCTACATCGACTGACAAATAGCCTGACTCGCAAGGGAATGCTGCTACATCGACTGACAAATAGCCTGACTCGCAAGGGAGTGCTGCTACAACGACTGACAAATAGCCTGACTCGCAAGAGAGTGCTGCTACATCGACTGAGGGTTTGGTTTAGCCAGGCAGTCTATCAATTAAAAAAAAAAATTTAATTTTTAAAACTTTTTCTAGTCTGGTTTATTAACGCACTCTTTAAAACTACAGTTTATGGGAAATATTTTTTGATGCTACGCAAGAGCTCTTGCGTAGCATCAAAAAATATTTCCCATAAACTGTAGTTTTAAAGAGTGCGTTAATAAACCAGACTAGAAAAAGTTTTAAAAATTGCATGTCTCTAGAGACATGCAAGACTATATATATATATATATATATATATATATATATATATATATATATATATATATATATATATATATATATATATATATATATATATATATATATATATATATATATATATATATATATATATATATATATATATATATATATATATATATATATATATATATATATATATATATATATATATATATTTATATATATATATATGTATATATTTATATATATACATATATATTATATATATGTTCTCGCTAACACTAATTTAGTTCAAAAGTTTTAAAATGTTTGCAACAGGGGCTCAAAAAAATTACGATTAACTAATGGCACTACAATCTTTTCATAGAGCTATTTTAGCAATAACACAAGACAATATGACTTATATTATTGCTAAAGAGGCTATTGTATAAGTATATAAATATAATTTGTATATATTTTAAACTTGTTAAAATCTTTAATAAGTTTAAAAAACATATATAGTTTGAGAAAAGCATGATGTTAAAATTATATCAAACTATAAAAAAATCAAATTTAAAATAAACATGTTTTAATATAATATATGTAAAGGGCATTCTACGAATAAAATGGAGGAGGGGGGGTGAGTCTTCAAAAAGTACCGAGAGGTTCCTAAAAAAAAAGAAAGGTCCTCAAAACAAATACCCGACTATTTTTTTAAAAAAACCGACAATAATTTGAAAATCACCTTTTTTGGAAGGAGGTGCCATTAGAGTTAATTCAATATTTTATAAGTAAATTCAGAAACAATTTTAAGGGGAGGTAAGGGGTATTGGTAAGGAAGGAGTATATAAATATAATTTGTATATATTTTTATATATTTAAATGCTCATATTTAAATGCTCTTCCGCGTTGCTCTGTGACAAGACCGTTAGGGGTACCTAAAACAAAAAATATATATGTTTGAGTTTCACGCATGGTTTCTCTTGCTGTTTAAAACCGGTTAAAACAACCAGAACAATCAATAATATGGTTTCATATCTGTGAAATTAAATATAACTATTTACCAATACACTAATATGATTATTAGGTTTATATTGAAGGTTTAACCGTTACGGAAACAAAGTATAATATTAAAACTTCGTTTCCTTAAGTTAACTTTTTGTAAAGAAAGTGAAACCATTAATAAAAGAATCCAATATTGACTTTAAACCTCATAAATAACGTGTTAAACTGAAATAAAACCGCCCGTGTAGTCAACGAGTTTTTAAATTACGCCTGGATCGTGATGAACACGTGTCTTTATTTCGAATTAAAACGATGTGTGCCAAGTTGGAAAGTATTATGATAAAATATTGATAAAAAATTATATAAAACAAAAGTTATCAAGATTGTGATAAGAATGATCACATGACCGTATAAGTTAAGTACATCACGGCAAGACGTTAATGACATCCTTTTGCAACTTTTTACAATTTAATAATTATGTGATTATTGTACCAGTTGTGAAAAATACACAACTTAAATTAAGAAAACTCACCTCATCGATTGTAACATAAAAGTGATTTAAAACTTAGAGAACTCATACTTGTTATTTTTGCAAATTACAAAAGATTTTCAAATAAATTGAAACTTGAATGGTATTTTTGCTTTTTTCTTGACTTAATGAAATTATATATATATATATATATATATATATATATATATATATATATATATATATATATATATATATATATATATATATATATATATATATATATATATATAATATATATATATATATATATATATATATATATATATATATATATATATATATATAAATTGTTGTTACAAAATTATATATATGTATAAATTATTGTTACAAAGGGTTGTGTAACAATAATTTAACGAATATGAGCTCAAAAATTTTTACTTTAAAATTTAAAGTTTTTACTTAACTCTAAAAAAACATTAAAAGTCTCGTGAAATTTTAGATGGCGGTAAAACCTGTGATATTCATCTTAAACTCTCTGATTTCCACTTGTTTTTTACAAAGTGAAATACCAACACCAATCACAAACCGTGGAGTTTATGGTAAGAAATGGTTCTCAAAATTTTTAATTTTTTGTTTTATTTTGAATAGTAGACGATGTTTAATGTTGACGATAAATATTTATTAAAACTTTGTTGATATTATACAAGCTGAAGAATACTTATATGATTGTTTTTTAACTAACATTTTATTTATAATTTTTTATAATTGTATTTCTATATATCTATATTATCGATACTTTTCTCATTCAGTTTATGTAGAGGAATAATTTTCAAATAGATGTTTAATATAACAAAATACGCAAATTTGAACTTTTAGAGAAAATTAACTGAGATGTTTTAATTTAAAAACTATGAATGTTTATTGATTTGAAAAAGGTTTCTAAATATATCTTTATTTCTCGACAGATCCAGCAACATCTTGCGATCCTATAAAGTGTCTTTTACCGAAATGCAGATGCGCTGGAACCGGCATTCCTAGTGGGTTAATAAAAGATAACACTCCACAGATTATTATGTTTACAATGGATGACGGTATCACTAGAAATAACTTCCAGTTGTATCAAGATTTGCTTAATGGGTTAAAAAATTTCAACGGGTGTCCTGTTAAAGCAACTTTCTTTTTATCGGGAGACAACACTGATTACAGCTTGGTAAAGATTCTGCAAAGTCAAGGTTTGCGTTAACAAAAACTTTATGGGTTCTTACTTCTTAATTAAACACAGTTTTGCAAAAACATTAATAAAATTATTTTTAGGTCATGAAATTGGTGATCATTCTGTGACTCACAGAGATCCTGTTGAATGGTGGAATCAAAATGTAAGATTTTGGAACTGAAACTAGGCTTTGTAATTTAAAAAAATTACGGACCTTTAGTTTAAAATAATTACAGACCTTTGGTTTAAACAAATTACGGACCTTTGGTTTAAAAAAAATACGGACCTTTGATTTAAAAAAGATATATTTTATATCTTATTATAATTATATAACTTATATTATATTATTACATATTATATTATGTTATATTATTACATATTATATTATATTATATTATTACATATGATATTTTTACATGGTGGCTATAAGTATTATTATTACATATTATATTATATTATTACATATTATATTATATTATTACAATTCTTATTATAATTATAAAGATATAAAGAAAATAAATTTCACTTTTTTTTTTTTGAAACTTTTAAACGCAAAAAGAAGTTGCTGGTAAGCATAAAAAAAAGTATTTGTTTTAAATCTCTTTTATTTTGAACTTATATCCTAAACCTTTCATGTTTGAAAACTTATCAATTTAATGTGTTATTAACAATATAATTACATGAAATCTGAAATAGCTTTACATTTATTTTGTTAAGTCCTACGATGATCTTGAAATTGAAGTTATCAATCAAAGAAAAACCATTGAAGAAATGGTTGGTGTAACAACGCGTGGATGGAGAACTCCATTTCTTGCAAGTACAGAAAACTTATTTAGTGTATTAGCTGATAACAACTTTTTGTATGATAGTACTTTGGGTACATATCCCAGAACAAGATGGTGGCCGTATACGTTGGATTATTTACCTCCTATAAACTGCTACATGCTAAACTGCCCTTTAAGTAATTATTGATAATATATTCATTTTAGTTATGACAAATTTTTTTAAAGATGTTTTGTTAAAAACTAAAATACAAAACTTTTTTTTAGATTCATATCCAGGTTTGTGGGAGGTTCCACTTGTTCCATGGCAATGTAATGCCACAGAAGAAATTTTTGGAACAATGATTGATGAGTGCAAAGATCCTGGAGATGAGGAAAGCGTATATGAAATGATTATGCGTAATTTTAAAACACACTATGACGATAACAAGCAGCCGTTTCCAATATTTGGACATTCCACGTGGTTCAACAACGCACCCTATAAAAAAACTGGTACATAACAATTTATTGTTTATGATTTTGTTTTATTTGTATTATTCTAATCAGTTCATTTCTTTTTTTTTTCTTTTCTCTTTTCTTTAGCTCTAATCAGATTTATGAATGAAGTTGTAAAACTCAATGATGTGTTTTTTGTGTCTGTTCAAGATGCAGTAAAATGGACACAATCGCCGATCGGGCTTAATGGAAACCCATTTTCTTGTCTTTAACTGTTAACTATAAAAGTTATTCGAAAATGTTACCTCACGCATATGTTCCCATAAAAATGTTACTATGAATAAGGCTGATGTTTGTTAATAATAGAATGAAAATTTATGTATGAACTTAGTACATTATGCTTGACTACTTCCTTATTTTTGATGTATTTATGGAGAAGCCAATATAAGTTTATATATATAAAAATAAATGAGCAATTTTAAAATTCTTGTTTTTTTATTTAAACATTTTTTTTATTATAAACCAAATAAAGGTTTCAGAGTTGACGATGTAAGCAGTAATGTAGTTATTAAATCAATGCTATATTTAAAAATCTCGTTTTTACATATATTTAGTCTCTCTTTAGAACAAGAAATCTTTTCTCATAGACTTAAAGTTGCAAGAGTAATGCCAGTATTAAAATCAGGAGACGAGACTAATATTTCCAATTACAGATCTATCTTCATACTATCATGCTTTTTAAAATTACTAGAGCATATTATGTATAAAAGATTGTATTACTTTTTAGCTGCAAACAATATTTTTCATAATAAGCAATTTGGATTTATAAAGAGTCACTCTAGTGATCAGGCAATTGTTCCTCTTTTTCAAAATATATTTAAACCGTTTAATGAAAATAAATATACATTAGGTGTATTTATTGATCTCAGTAAGGCTTTCGACACTGTCGATCATTTCATTTTATTAAAAAAATTAGAAAACTATGGAGCAAAAAATATAAATATTTTATGGTTTAGAAGCTATCTGACAAATAGATCGCAATACATTTCTTACAATGATGGTAAAACGACCGATATGAATATAATGTGTGGTGTCCCTCAAGTTTCTATATTGGGGCCACTCCTATTTCTTATCTATATCAATGATTTAAGTAAAGCATGCAGTGATCTAGATACAATTTTATTTGCATATGATACAAACCTATTCTATGCACATAATGATATAAACATTCTGTTCAAATCTGTAAACAAAAGTTTAATAAATTTTACTGAATGATTCAGTGCAAATAAATTATCAATAAATATTACCAAGACAAAATATACTTTTTTCCATCGTTTTCATGATCGAGATAATATTCCTTTAAAACTTCCAAAATTCTGTATTGACAATCAAGATGTAAAAAGAGAAATCACTTTGAAATTTCTCGGTGTTCTGCTTGATGAAAATGTGACGTGGAGAGATCACATACATTATCTCGAAAGTAAAATCTCTAAGAACATCGGTCTGATTTGTAGAGCAAAACCTTTTTTAAATCCATATTGCTTAATATTTTTATATTTCTCTTGCATTCATTGTCATCTAAATTATTGCTTGGTGCAGTACAAGTAAAAATAAAATTAAAAAACTTTTTAACAAACAGAAACATCCAATCAGAATCATATCCAATGTGGGACGTTTTACACATTCCCAAGCATTGTTTATTAAGCTAAATATAATGGATATTTACCAAATAAACATCTATCATCTTCTTATATATATGTTCAAAATTAATAAAAATTTATCTGTTAAAATATTTAACCCGCTATTCAAAATAAATCAGAACAGATACTTAACCAGATACTCGTATAACAGCTACCATCAGCCCACAAATTATTTTGCGACTACTAAATTTTCAAATTCTACTAGAGGACCAAAAGTATGGAATAAAATATTAACTAATGATCTTAAAACAAATGCAACGCTTAATAAGTTTAAGACCAAATTGAAGCAAAGGCTGTTGATGAGCAACGTAGCACAGGATATTTCTGACGGTATATTCTGATGTATATGTAAAGGTGTATACTAGTTTAAAAGAAAAGTTTCAGGATTATGAGTATTTGCGTGCATACTTTTTAAGTATATAATTTTTTGCTATACTATAGTAATTGCTTTTACTTTGGTATTTAATTTTTTTCCTTTTATAATTTTAAAATAAGAAAAAAGAAGATTTTCATAGTTAGAGAGGGGCATTCAGGACCTTTGAATTTTATCTTTTTGTTTGTCTGTTGTTTGTTTCTTATAAATATAAAAAGTCTATATAACAATATTTTATATGCTGTAATGCTGCAGTTTTACGATTTTTATATTTTATTATTGTGTATTACGGTAGAGATTAAGGGGCTTGTCGATAAGACAAATGTCTTCTTCTTGCCCCTGCTATTTGTATTTGCATATGTTTTATGTTATGAATAAATTTATTTAGCAAAAAAAAAAATTTTTTATAAATAATGTTTTTTTTATTTAATAGTGTTGAATTATTTACTTCCGACTACACTATTTTTATTCATTTATATTATTGAAAGCACTTTAAACTTATTTTTTTGTTAAAAATTTTTAAAAGTGGCTTTTTACCAGCAGAATTACCTTGTTACCTTGGAGCAAAGTTGCTCTATTACCTCAAAAAGTGCAAACTTGATCTAGACTTGTTTTTACAGTTTCGTGGGCTTTTATTAATTATTAATTACCGATGAATCTGTCCCCGTAAGTAATAAAATAGGTGTATATATATATATATATATATATATATATATATATATATATATATATATATATATTGCATACACTAATTGGCTTAAGCCAATTATGTGTATAGTAACATATTGCACCTTCTAACATCGTGTGCAATCCTGTCCGCTTTCTGTATGGTATCTTTCTAACATGACTTCTATCTTTTACTCTAAAATTCTTCGTTCTTCCTAAACTCACTTTACTCTAGGTCTGTAGAGCAGGTAATGACGCTATTTATTAGCTGAACTTGTCTTTGCGGTCCTTGGTAATGTGGCCTCCGTATGGCAATTAGCTGGAGGAGGATAAACCACAATACCTATATATATATATATATATATATATATATATATATATATATATATATATATATATATATATATGTACACCCTTAAAAATTGTTTGGATAAAAAATGCTACACTTAGTTTATTAAAAAAGTTGCTCTCGATGTTGAGTATACTTATCTACATGTTTAAATTATTTCCATGTAGATCTAACTTTAGAATGAAACAATCACTTTGTTCATTAATGAACTATAAATATATAACGTTGTTAGATCTTGTTAGGGCACCTAAGTCAAAGAAAATTAAAATGATAAAATTTTTGTAAAAAAATAAAATATTACTTTGCACCCGTAAATTTTTATCGTTTTCACACTCCAAGTATACAAAACCTTTTGCTTATATACGTTGTTTCAAACAGGTCACATTTTTTATATTTTTTGTCCGTTTATACACTCGTTGTAATTAAGGATAGATCTATAAAACACGCAAATTTTAAGGGCGATAAAAAACCGAAAAGCAGTTTCTATGTATTCTAAAATAAATTCCGCTGGTAAATATATAAGTAAAAATGAAATCAAAAAAGTGTTAAACATATAAGTAAAAATGAATATTGGAGGTTGTACGAGATCTTCAACGAGAAAAAGTTTAAGCTTGCCAAACTTTCCAATATAGTTGGTTTATAACCAATAAATTGGTTATAAACCAACTATAAATTTGAAAATTGAAATTTCACTCATTACAAATCAAAAGTATTATTATTATTTTACATTTAATAAAAATGAAATAAAGGAATAAATAAAGAACAAAAAAATAAAGAAACAAATTTATTTTACATTAAATAAAATCGAAAAATTAAATATTTTTACTCAAAATTAATATTTTTTGCTATGTGTCAAATACTATTAATAAATAGATAATGCATTTTTAAAGACAACATTTTTTTATATATAATAAAATTTATTACAATATGCGGTATCGGTAAAGATTAAAAAAAAATTAAAAAAGGTAAGTAAAAAATGCCGAAATAAATAATATATAAAAAAGATTTATCCAATAAAAGTTTCACTTAAATTTAAAGCTTTCGTTCTTTTTAGAAAACCAATTTATTTAAGAAACTGTTCACAAAAATAAGTTCATTATTTTTATAATCATATCGTTATTTTTAAATAGATATCTATTTAAAAATGTGTAACAGATACAGACTGTGTACACAATTTTTTTTTTTGATCTTTATTGTATTTTACATTTACTTACAATTTTTAAAATTACCAATTTTTCATTTGCGTCGTATATTTTTTATTTTTCAACAATTTATTTAACAAAATTTTTTTAATCATTTTTTTTAAGACTTTCCTACTTATTATAATAACTGAAAATAATAATTGTTTTGTTGATTTTATTTATTTACTATGTTGACTATAATTTTTTTTTTTCAATACATTTATTTAGCCGTACAAATCTTTACAATTTCCGTGTTTTATAATATATATATATATATATATATATATATATATATATATATATATATATATATATATATATATATATATATATATATATATATATATATATATATATACATATATATATGTATGTATATATATATATATATATATATATATATATATATATATATATATATATATATATATATATATACAGGGCCGTACCGATAGGGGGGTGTGGGGGGGTGTCCACCCCCCCAGATTTTTAATATTTTGTCGGTTAAACAGTACAATGGTAAATTGTCGGTAAGATTACAATAAATTGTAATCTTACCGACAACTTTACCATTATACTATTTAACCGACAAAATATTAAAATTATTATTTTCTTGTTGTTTCTGTATTGCAAAAATGTTTTTATATCATCCTTAACGCTAATTTTCAAAGCATAAAAAACTAATTCTTTTTTGGAATTTAACGCGTATTACAAATAAAACTCAGCTAAGCATGTTTTTGGTTGCCGTTTTTTATTCTCAAAAATTGCGTTACGTAATTAGTCAACAATTTCTAATTACTTTAAAGCAAGAATCTTAATCAAGAGACTTGTTTACTTGATGTTTGCACAGAAGAAATCAAAGTTTAGTTAGCGGTGTGTTTTTATTATTAGAAATTTGGTACTAGTATTGGAAGTTTGGCGAAAGAAGTAATAAACTATTTTGTTTATACTTGTAAGTTACGTATTTACTAATAAAATTTTAAAAAGTTTAAAATTTATTAAATCATTTATATATTTTTTTAAGGCGAATATTTTGTTAGTTTAATTTGTAATTATCTTAGATTTTGGGTTCAAGATGCCACATCCTGGTGTTAAAAGATACAAAGTCAAATGCAAAGTTAAGAACTGTTCACATTCAATTTTTGATAATGACTATCGGATGACACATAATCGAATTTATCATTTGGATTATATCCGAA